AACTTTTTTAGACAAATTACAAAAAATGATTTCTATGAAAGATCGCGGTGGACTGAAAAAGTCTTAGAAATTTTTATGTATTGGTGCGTGAGTTCGAGATGGTTACCCGCTCCCTTGTTGACACTGAGACACTATAGGGTCCAAATCTTCGTTGTTGTGTCCATTGAAGGATAGCATTATGGGAACATTTATGGTCCAACATTATTTAAAGGCTGTTTTGTCGGGTGTATTAGAAACTGTTTCTTTGAGTGTCCTTGAGGATGCGGTGCACATGTTTTTGACGATTTGGGGTATGCTGTTGTAAGCAGCAAGTACAAATACAGCAAAGCAATCCGCAAGTCTACGTCAGAATTTAAAGGACATTTCTGTAGTGACCGACTAATTTAGTGCAAATTGACTTGGCATTATGGGACTTAATTATAATTAAAATCCATTAATTATATTATACCTATCTCACTCGTAGTTATAACTAGTTAAGAATATATATATATTATGTAGGCCCCATTATACCATATTCATTGAACAAACATTGATTCTAACCTTAATTAAATCTCTATTTAATCAATTATGAAAAATATTTAATTATAGGAGATATGCAATTATCAGAAATATGCTATTCAATGGAATCCACTGTATAATGTTTCCCGGTCAAGGTGCATATGAAAAAGATAATGCATTTTAATTGCGCATGATCATCACGAATGCCTGTGTAATGTTGTGACCATATAAATTACCTTCCCTATCCAAAGGATCATTTGGGGTGTTAATTTTGATATCATAGCTGTTAAAGGACTTAGGTATTGCATTCAACATACTAGTGGCATAGAAACTTCTATGGGCCTTCAGATAACTTATTAGCCCCATATGATTGATCATAGAACAGGGTTGGAATCCCTTAAAAAGTGAGAGAGAAACAATGATAATAGTGAAATATACGACGGGCCAAAACAAAATATAGGTACGTTTCCTATTCCCCTACTAATAATTAACCTACCTGGAAAAATCCTACCTGAAACATTTTATAGACAATTAAATTATTTCAGACAAGCACCGTTAAAGTCAGGATCCATATGCTCTATATAGCATTAGTAAAATGTTTTGCTAAAATGAAATGTTTTCCCTACCTACCTTATATGCATTGAAAATATCAGGGAATAGGAAACACACATATATAGTTATATCGGTTTGGCAACACCATAAAATAAAGATATATTAAAAATTAATAACAGATACAGAAAAAAAGATAAAGGTTTTATTTCGGAACTCACTATAATACAGAACGACCACCAAAAAATAACAAGTAACACAATGACTAAATCAAAGTATTAAAATATCGTGAAGCTTATTAATTATAAAAGCTTGTACAAATGTGTGTTTACAAAACATTTCCGAAATTTGTGAAAACATGTTTATCTAAATGTATATACGATTTTCTATAAATACGTATACATTAAACAAAACTCTGTTAATCGGTATACCATTAATATGTACTATATGTGGTTTTAATTTTACTTAATCACTTATTTTTCGTGGATCTTAATTTGTTGTTTATTATATATTGAACTTTTTAATTCTATGGCGAAAATCAATAAATCAAAATTAAAAAAAAGAATACATTATATTTTGCATGTCTATTGTTCCTGATTCGCAATATCAAATCTAACAGTAAATAAAGTGATTTATGAAGGATATTTTAGGTGAATCCTGAACACAAGTTTCAAAATTTTACAAAGTCTGTTTAAATTTATGATTTAAACTTGTGTACTAATTCAATGTCACCTGAGGGGAATCCTCCATATTCATAATTGCACGTGCATCAATATTAAAAAAAAAAGAGGCCCAGAGGGCCTGTATCGCTCCCCTGGATACCTAAGCAATCATGGCAAAATATTCTCAAAAAGAGATAAAGGGTTGCCAATCCTTGTAGCATATCTGTCTTAGACATTTCATGCCCAGCAATTTTATGTAAGGTTATGGGGGGTGGGGATCTCAACTGTTTCCAAGCTTTGATTCAGAAACTAGGTCCCTAGGGTTGTGGCCAGACCCGTGGATCAATTCTGATATCGTGACTGCATTTGTCTCTTTTTGCCAAGCATTTGTATATATAGTGTTTTGGGGTGGGGATCTCAACCGTTTCAAAGTTATGACCAAGGGGTTAAGTCTGCAAGGGTGGGGCAGACCCTGGGGTCAATTCTAATAGCATGACTGCATTCGTCTCTTTATGCCCAACAATTGTATATATAGTTTTGGGGTGGGGATCTTAACCATTTCAAAGTTATGACCCAGGGGTTAAGTCTCAAAGGGTGGGGTAGTCCCCAAGGCCATCCTGGAAGCATATGTGCAATCATCTCTTTATACTCAGCAACTGTATATACGGTTATAGGGTGGGGCTCTCAACTGTTTCAAAGCTGTGACTAAGAAACTAGGTCCCTAGGGGTTTGGTCAGACCACAGGGTCTATTCTGATATCATGACTGCATTCGTCTTTATGCCCAGCATTTGTATATATAGTTCAAATATGGTTGATATCCATCTCTTAGTTCCAGAGGAGAAGTCGCTTAAAGCAGTATAGCCAAATTGACCCCTTTTATATATATATAAATACCATGGTTATATGGTGGGGATCTCAACCATTTCATTTTTTTTTGTTTTAGCCCCACCCCTTAGAACTGGGGGTCAGCCCCACCATTTGTACAATTTTGAATCCCTGCCTCCCATGATTGCTTCCGACCAAATATGATCAATATCCATGGCATAGTTCGATTCTACAGAAGAAGTCGTTTATAGCAATAAAGCCAAATTGACCCCTTTTGGCCCCGCCTCTAAGCCCCCCC